GTTGACTATATTTGTGCACAACAGAGACTTTTGATACCACCTTACTAATCCTTTATCAACAATGAGATGAAATTAATTTTCTATCTGTTTTTCTTAAAGCTATCCTACTAGTATGTAGACGCTAAATAAACCGAAATAGCTTTTGAAGCAGTTTACCATACACAGCTCTAGCAAGCGTTCACGTTAACTTGCAAATCTACACATTGTTTCTTTTCTTAACCATCCTTTCTCCTGTATTGGCTAGCTATTTGATAACATGACCTCCAATTCTGGTACTCTGAAGAACACATTTGGATTATGCCTTACACATTCTTTTCTCTCTTTTTTCTTTTATGTCTAAACTAGTATTTTATCTATTTGGTTATATTCATAGGCTAACTAATCTACAATTTAGTAGTTAAACCTGAGACAGCCCCTATAGTGTATTTGCATCTTTCTATCTCATTATCTTGATTTTCAAATCCTTTATGCGTTCGTCTTTCATGTAAAGTCATCGTCACCCATAAGATTTCATAAAGTCAAACTACCAGTATCTTAGTTTTGTTCCTCATCACTGGGATGAAACCGACCTTAAAATTTTCTCATTGCACACTTTCATTTTAAATGGAAGTGAACTCATCATTTCATATTAGACTTTTTTAGAAGTAGACATTTTCAGTACCGCTATTATCTTCCTAAATTGCTTATTCTACGCTCCAAAAAAGATCCTTTCGTATTAATGACTTCTGTGTCTTATAAATCGTTTGCTATTGATTATCCCCCCCTCAATTTAATCGTATTTCATCGTGAATCTTTTTTTTTATCGAATTTTAGTTTGCTTTTTTTTATGCTTAACTAATTATTTATACTCTTCGCTTATTTCGTCACAACTGGTAATAATAATTCTCATTTTCTCTTTCCTCTATAGGTCGACTTCATTGGCGTTGATCTGCTTCAAGTGTATAATTTTAGCATGCTTCGCCGCCGTCTTAACACGCCTGGCCTTCCTGTCACCGGGGCAGGTTGCTTTCTCATTCCAGGTCCTACGGGAAAATCAATAAAATCCGCTCGACTTGCTAAGTACAGGAAGCCAAGTGGTACAAGAATACGCAAAAGAAAAGAAGTAGATGTACGGAAATATTCGCCTTCAGCACTTATGGTTGATGAAATTATACACATTTCTGATCCTAGTCAGACAGTAGCTGACGCTTCTGCTCCTGAATCGGCGTCTAAACAGGTAGGTGTTTCATTTAATCTTCTTTAGCCTTACCTATCAATTTATTCGTTTTTCCACAAATTTCGACCATAACTTTTATATATTTCAGCATGGATGGAAAACCTTCAGGTTCTGTTGTCTGCTTGAGAGAGTGTAGGAGGGTAGCGATTAATATGAGTTCGAATAGTGCTAAATTCTAAATACGACTAAATTCTAAATACTACGAACGATAAAGTTACATCAGGTTTGCATTAATACGAGTCTAAATTTAGTTCTTAGTGCACCATATTTCTAGGCAGCGGAGCATTCGCATCAAATTTCATTAGACCGTTGCCCTTCATGCACACATCAGTGCTTGTCACATCATCCAGTTTTACATGCGCAATCATTTATATAGTAGCCATTTAGTAAATAGGTACAAAGGATAAAATTATATTGGATATGAAAAAGAGAATTGATTAGAGATTAAATTAGAACAAAATTTCCTATAATAAAAAAACGTGATGATATTAATTATACAATTTGCAGAGCTGTTGGAATTCAGGAATATTTTAATGCACACGGATGAAGTAACGAAGAGTAAGGCAGCATCAACTTGATTTTGTTTGAAGGCCACAACTATGAATATAAGTTTTGAAATGATAGAGATATAACGGCTTTTATCAGTAAAGGTAGAAAACTCCCTGTTGCCACGAGCAAATAGCGAAAACGAGGTCAAAACAACACTACATCGAATAGAGACTGCGACAAAAATAGAGGCCACAACATCATGGTCTTTAGGAATATTTTATTTAATTGTTGAGCTTACTTCCATTTCGAGTAGAAGTGTTGGGTGAAGAGATTCTAAGGTCGGTTCCACCAGAA